CCCTTCCATCACAGTGTCTCTTCCCCCCCCCCCCCCCCGCCCCCCAACTCAGACAGGGATTGGTAAGGCCCGCCCATTCACCTCCTGCCGATGCCTTCGGGATGTGGGAGGAAACCCGAGTCCCCGGGGAAAACCCAGGCAGGGGTGGGGAGAACATGCAATCCCCACACGGACAGACAGTGGTCCGGCCGGAACCGACTTTACTTTTCATGTTGATGCTATAATGAACGACGCTGAGCGAGCTCATCTCAGACCGGCTACGTGCCCATTTTCTTGCTGAAAGTCAGTGTTTGCTGCAGCCTGGTGGGTGAGAGGAGGGGAGAAGGTATCCTGACAGTGCAATGTGGTTTTCATGGTAAGCCAGGCAGCTGGGGCGGGAAAGGAGCCAGGTCTGCCGGTCCCGCTTCCCACCCCCCCGAGGGACCCCAACCGGCTTCTTATCCCCGAGGGACCCCGTCCTGAGGGGCTTAGCAAGTCTTTTCTTTCTTTCTTTTTTAAAAATGTTTTTTTTTTTATTGATTTTTATACAGAGAGGAATTGAGAGGGACAGAGAGTTAGAAACGTCGATGAGAGAGAAACATCGACCAGCTGCCTCTTGCCCACCCCCCAACTGGGGATGTGCCCGCAACCAAGGTACATGACCTTGACCGGAATCGAACCCGGGACCTTTCAGTCCACAGGCCGATGCTCTATCCACTGAGCCAAACCGGTCTTGGCTCAAGTCTTTTCTTTAGGTCACACTCTTCTGACCTCAAAATAGGAGGGCTGGAGGGCATGGCCACCTGCTCCTGCTGGGTCACAGGGACCGCGTCCCGGAGGTTCGCAAGCTGATCCGGGCCCGGGAAGCAGCTGATTGGTCTGAGCAATGAGCGTGTGCGCGAGAGTGGTGTGTGTGTGTGTGTGTGTGTGTGTGTGTGTGTGTGTGTGTGTGTGTTGCATCTGGCCAGGCCCTCCCCTGCCTCAGCAGCCCGGGAGTCTGTGCTTGTCCAATTGGCCTTCATCAAAAGCCTGCAAGAAATCCTCAGGCCACACAGAAACGAAGACACGGGAAAGTCAACGCAGGCCCAAAGGGGGCGGTGACAGCGAGAATCGTGGTCTCCTCATTAACCAGCTGTAGGGAGCACAGCCTGCCTTGCCCACCCCCGAGAGCCGGGACCACCCCCAGGGCTTGGGCGGAGCAGCCTGGCACTGGAATGAGCTGGTGACGGGGCCTACGGGGCTGCAGAGGGGAGGCGGGGAGAGGCAGGCCGACCCTCCGATGCACGGTGGTCCGGGATGTCATGGTTGCCTCCATGTCCAGCGCAGGAGGGATGCCAAGGCCTGACAGCGCAGACACCCTGAGTCCTCAGGGAGCTCCGGTCCACACATGGCACCAGACGTCTCGCCAAGGAAGACAGGCCACTGCGTTCAGATAGCCTTAACCACCTCCGGGCAGAGGGAACACACATGGGGGGCAAGCTCCCTCCCCATACCTCTCCCTCCCTCAGGAGTGGGCTCTCAGTCCTGCTTACATGCTGGGCTTTCCTTTGAGGAGAGGGTCCCAGGGCTGGGGAAAGCTCTAAAACCCCCTCCCTCAGTCATCTAGTTTACCAGGAGTGCCAATTCAGGTCCAGCTCCTCCTCCTCCTAACCCCTCTGCTGCCATGTCACCTGGGTGGTGTCAGGCCTCTGTGTCACAAGGTCACCTTGAGCTCCGGCCTCTCAGAAACACAATTTCCTTCCCCGCCTGCTCGGGACCTCGCTCCCGTTTCTAATCTGAAGACTTCCCTTGCCCTCTTGGTGAGGCTAGAAATGATCCCCTTTCCTTGTAGGGGGCCAGGCACCTGGGGGGCATGGACTTGGTCCCACAGGTTTCACCTGGGTACAGGTTGATGCATCCTCCCTTCCCCCAACTGTTGGGCGGAGAATGACGTAAACTCCACCTGCAGAACATTCCTGAGCACCTAACCAGGCACCTCATATGGACTGTACATTGAACCACCAATCAGCACCTGCCAAATACTCCAAGTCCCCGATTCTTAAGTCCTTGGGTCCCTAATCATGTGCCTTACATGAAACCACCAACCAGCGTGTGCTGAGTGCCCTAAGCCCCGTCCCTTCCTTTTCCTCCCCTTAAAAGGCGTGTTCACCCCGACACGTGTGCTCTTTTCTCCTCGGAAGGCAGCCCGGCAGGGGACTTCTCCGGCAATAAAGCCTGTGTCCTGGTCCGGGTCTCCAGCCCCTCTGTTTCATCTTTCACCGGTAACCCTGGGGATGGCAGTGACAGCCACACCCATGTAGATAGGACGCAGTACATGCCAGGCTTGGCTCTGCCCTGTGTTTTAGCCTGCACCAGTGGTCGGCAGACTCATTAGCCCACAGAGCCGACTATCAACAGGACAACGATGGACATTTCTTTGGAGAGCCACATTTTTAGAACGTAAACTTCTTCTAACGCCACTTCTTCAACCTAGACTCGCCCAGGCCGTGGTATTTTGGGGAAGAGCCGCACTCAAGGGGCCGGAAGAGCCGCACTCAAGGGGCCAGAGAGCCGCATGTGGCTTTCGGGCCGCGGTTTGCCGACCACGGGCCCACATAACCCTCACAACACCCTGGCAGGGAGGTCCTTCCACCTGGCTCCCATTTTACAGACGCGAGGCTCGGAGAGGTGAGGGGGCTTGCCCAGGGCCGCTCAGCTGGAAAGCGACGGAGCAGGTCTCAAATCCCGCGGCCTGGCTCCAAAGCCTGTGTTTACCCACTCACGGAGCTGCCTCTGCCAGGAGCCTCCACGGGAGAGACAGCCTCAGGTCATCCGGCCACGCTGTCCAGGCCGCAAACTCGCTCTATCCCAGCCCAGGAACTCCCCGAGGGCAGGGGCCGGCCCTTGGCTGCTCTGCAGACTCCCCTCGATGCTTGTTGACCAGAGAAACCACAGATTCCTCAGGCGGCCGCCTGCCCGTTGATGTGGCGCGCGCATGGGGTTAGACAAACACGTGGGAGGACTGGCATGTGGGGGGCGGCGGCCGGGCCAGACCGGCAGAAAGGCCCTGAAGCGCAAATGCACTAACAGCAATCAGGACACCAGCCACAGCTGGCAGCTGCCCTCCCTCTCCCCCGCACCCCGAAGATGCCAGGAGCCCCGGGCAGCTTTGCTGGAGGGACAAGCCCCTGCAGGAAAGGAGCTGGGCTGGGGCCGGTTGCAGAGGATGGCGTGCCAAGGGGCTGGCAGTCCTCGCAGGCGTGAACTTACGGCCCTCTCCCCTGCCGCCGCCCAGTCCGGCCCTCGCCCAGCTGTTGTTTTCCGCCTGAGGCCGGGCTCCTTCCCTCCGCTGTGCTGTGGTTTGGGGCCCGGCCAGACAGGGATATAGCGAAGATGGAGTGGCCAGGGAGCACAAGGAGAAGCTGTGTGGGCAGGGCAGCCCCGTGGGAGGCCCCGCTCCTGAGTCTCCGCCTTCCCCCTCACCCCCCCACAGGCCTGGTGGAGCCCGAACCCCTCCCTGGGGCACGGCCCCACGCTAGCCCTCAAAGGCCCCCTCCTGGAGAGGAAAGAAACCAGGGAGTGGGCTCCTGGGTCCAGCTTCTCTCTCCCCACCTGGAGCCCCCGGCAGCCCGCTCTGGAGTCTGCCCCTTTCCAGATGGCCAGCAGCTGGCCCGGCCGAGTGGCTGCCAGATGCGGCCGGCGGGGCAGCCGCTGGCTCTGCCGGGCAGAGGTCGCCACATGGAGGAGCAGTCCTGGGGGCTGGCACCCAGGGAAGGAATGTGCTCGGCTCGTCTGGGGGCAGCGTGCCCCAATACCCTCCCATCTCCTCTCCCCACCCCACATTCCTCACCTCCCCGCTGCAGTGGGGGGGGGGGGGGTGTTTTCGTAACAGGAAAGTAAAATCAATAAGGCGCTGGGAGCTGGCCTCCGACAGCTGCATTGTCTCGGCCTGGAGGGCCGCGCCGGCAGCACGCAGCTGTTAGCGGGACGCCGGGCTGGAGGGGGGTTTGGAAATCACAGGCACAAAGGCGAGCACACCTGGAGCGGGGCTTCTCATAATGGCTGGGGCCCAGTCCCCCGCCTTTCAACTCCTCCGGCAACTTTCCTGAAAGCAGGAGAGAAAAGACCAGACATGCCTGCGCATACACACACACACACACACACACACACACACACACACACATGCACACGCACATGCAGGCTCCCCGGGGGCGGCTCTGAATGGCTGGCAGAGGCACAGGCGGCCTCGGAGCCCCTGCCTGGCTGACCGAGGACACAGAATGGTGACAAAGGGGCCTCCTGCCTCCAGCCTGGAGCCTGGGGTCCGAGCGGCGTGACGGGGACCAGCTAGAACCCATGCCAGGCGAGAGCCGCGTGACATTTTCATTTCGACGTCGTGGTTGGCAGCACGGCCTGGTACCTGCTGTCCTTCTGAGGCTGGAGCCGAGCGACCCCCAAGGAGAGGGAAGGACCTGGAGCTCACGCCCCCGAGCCCGACGGCTGGGGCCGGCGCCTGGGCCCCTGACATTGACCGGCTTTCAGGGACGTGGTGTGCCTCAGTATCCTCAACTGCAAGAGGGAGTGGCCCGGGCACGGACCTCCTGGTTGTCCGGGGCTCGGAGGGGACAGGGAATGTGAGAATCCCCAGCACCAGGGTTAGCACGCGGGAGCTTCCTGTCCATTGATGACGTGTCGCTGGCCTGCATCTTCCTGCAAACCCAAGTCCCCGGCAACTCCAGGGGGCACGCCTGTCTACATTCACCTCGTTAGGGGTCCTGTAGTGCCAACTCCGAGCTCCCCCGTCATGTCACTCATTAAATAGCATTTAACGAACGTGGCCCAGGACAATGCGTGTCCTCGCCTCGGTACCTCCTCGTTTCCCTACAAGCGAGTCACAGAGAGAGACCTTACAGAAATAAAAATAAACAGCTGTCCAGCCCAGCGTTGTGGGGACCGGCGCTCCGGAGAACGCAGTGCCCAGCGCCCAGGCCGTCAGCCCGAGGAGCTGGCCCCCGGGGCCTCGGAGAGGACACAGGTCTTACCTTGGTGGTGGCGGCAGAGGCAGAGCTGGCCACGAGGCTGGTGATGGCCTCGCCGCTGCCCGTGGTGCAGGGCGCGGGGGCCGTGGCGGGCGTGGGCAGCCGGGAGGGCACCGCCGGCAGCGGCAGGAGGCCGGGCCGGGCGCTGAGGCTGCTGGCGGCGCCGCCGGCCCCGGCGGTGGCGCTGCAGGTGCTGGTGGTCCCATGCGTCCCGTTGGCACTCCACTCGCGGCGGTCCCAGCCCACCCGGAAGTCTCTTTCGAAGCGGCTGTGGTGCCGGGACATCTCGGTGGGCCGCGGGGGCTCCTCGCCGGGGAACAGAGGCCGGACCTGTGGGCAGAGAGGAGAGGAGGGCGGTTAGACCATCGGCAGCCCTGCGAGGGTGCCGCCTTCTCTGTGTGCCACAGCGGCTCTCACGTGCCAGCGCCTGGCGCAGTCACAGCAAGCCCGCCACGTGTGGACCATGAGCCCCACGTGGCAGGCGAGGAACCGGTGATTTGTCCGGGACCCCGTGGCAAAAGCGAGGCAGCCGGGAGTTGAACCCGGTCACAGCTTGAAGCCAGGCCGGGTTCTGCCGGTCACCCCGCCCTGCCCTGCCCGGCTCCGTGTGCGCGCTTCCACTCTGGCTGGGAGGTTACCCTGACGTGAGGCCCCTGGACCCCTCAGGCCACGCATGGGGTGACAGCAGCAGCCACGTCGACACGCTCACTTTAGAGCGAACAAGGCCCCTTATGGGAATCTCACTGATCGCCTCGGTAGCTTGTGAGTTGGTGAGAGAGGGGTCACCCCCAATGTATGGGCCAGGCGGGAGCTCGTGACGAAGGGCAGAGAACCACGGAGGGCAGAGAACGGGAACGGGGGAATGCGGCCAGGGCCCGGCCTTCTTGCCGTAGCTCCTCACGGGACGCGAGGCTGAACCGGTGCTAAGCCTCCGGGGGTTCTGAGTTCCCCTTCCCAACCCCACGATTCACCAGTCGCCACCCTCGACCCTGCGCTCCCCGGCTCGGATAACCAGGCCACCTTGCACGTGACTCTCCGGAGCATCCGAACATAAGGCCCTCGTGTTGTCATGGAGACCCAGACACACCAAGATCCTCCGAGGGCGTTCAGCATCGGGACGGCCGCGTTTTGTCAGCGTCACGGTGACTGGCCTGGCTCCCTGCCCAGCAGGGCCCGAGCCCCCCTCAGTCAGGGAGGAGGTAAAGACACAGGAGGGGCTGTCTCAGCCAGAGAGGCCACGGCAAGGCAGGGGGCAGAGGTCGAGGTGGTGCCAGGGCGCGGACGGGAGGGTTAGGCTGGCATCTGCCCTGCACATCGCATGCCCAGCCCTGGTCACGGCTTGGGCCTGGCTTGCTTTTCCTCGACTCTTCTCCATTCTCCAGCCACGTCCTGTCTGGGGGAGTTCCTGGCCCCCGGCTCACTCCCCCTCTCCCCCGCAGTCCAGCCCGGCCCTGGCGGGGGCTATGGGATCACTGGCTACTGGACAGACAGGCCACAAGCACGGTCCTGCTCCAGTCTCCGTGCATCCAGACCTGGCTGTCTGGTCTCAAGCGTGCACCGAACCACCAGATCACTTTTAGAGAGAGTGGAGGGGCGGGGAGGGGGAGGAGGGAGAGGGGGTTGTGTCGGGTGTGTGGTGGGGGAGACAGAGAGAGAAACATCGATGTGAGAGAGACACATCAATCGAGTGCCTCCTGTACACACCCCAACCCAGGCAGGAGATCGAGATACGTGCCTTTGACTGGAATCAAACCCACAACCCTTCAGTCTGCAGGCCGATGCTCTAACCACTGAGCAACCAACCAAACAAGGCAGTATCGATACTTTACGCTCCTGCTTTCCATCCCGTCCTTCAGAATAAGGTCCGGGCGCCTCAGGGTGGCCCAGAGGCCACGAGGACCTGGCCGGCTCCCTTTGGAAGCACCCCATGCCCTGTGGTTACCCCAGGGCGAGGCCCGGCCACCCAGGCACCCCCGCCAGCTCTGCGTCCCAGCCCGCACGGCCCCTTTGCAGGAACACAGCCTCCCCTGTCTGCACCCGCGTGTCTCTTATGACTCCGCTCCGGTCCCCTCTCTCCTGGGAGGCTGCCCTCACCTGCCCCTCTGGATGCAGCCAGAGACCTCCAGCCCCTGGACACTGGCACCCATGCCCAGCTCACCACAAAAGGCTGCTGTCTATTCGCTTCCTTCCGGCAGGGGAACCGGCTCCTTCCTGCCGATGACGGTGGGCGGGCAGGACAGGCCCTTCGACGTGCCCGCAGCGGGCAGAGGGTGCCTGGGACCAGGTCAGAGGGGCCTCCTCAGCCCTGGGGGAACCTTAGCCGCCGATGCAACCTGACAGCCCTGGGGACCACCTGCTGGACCACACGGTGGCTCCCCTGCCCTCCCAGCCCCAGCAGCCTGCCCCTCCACCACGCCCTCCGCTCACCCCTCCGCGCCTCCCCCGGGACGCGGGGGAGAGGACGGGGCGCGGGAGGCCACCGTCTGGTTTCAGGCTCATGCGATGTATTCAAAACAGAGGTCAGCTCTCTGCGTGCCAGGTTTGGGCTGGATCGCGCTTCTCAGCTTAATTACCCCTTTCAGACGGCGTGAAAGAAATGTGTCGCCGCTTACCCTGGGCGAGGCGGCAACTTAGGTTTCCCGCTGGGCACGGAGCCACGGTGTCAGAGAGGTCCCGGTGCCCGCGCTGGCACCGGCGGGCGGCGGCGGGGGAGGCGGCGGGAAGCAAAATGTGCACAAACGCTTCCTTGTCCAGGTGGGCACCTTTCCCTGGCAGGCTGCCTGTGGACGGCCGAGCCCGGCCCCCGCGCCCTTCGCAGAGAGAGGGAGGAGGGCGGGGTCTGGATGGCGGCCATGCCTGAGTGTGTGGAGGGGAGGGAGGCTGTTTATAAAGAACCAGAGCTCCGGGTGGCATGTGTTTAAATTGCATGCACATGTGTGAGGAACGCCCTGGGGTCTGGCGATCTGGAAACCGGGGGTGGGGGTACGGGGGGGGACAGGCCTGCTCGGGGGCTGGGGCAGAGGCGCCTAGGGGCGGGGGCAGAGCTGGGGGTGTTTTAGGTGTGAATCTTGGCTCCGGCTTCGGGGACCCGCTGTCATGTGCACGTCTCAGGGATGCTGGGCTGGCAGAGAAGGGAGGGAGGCCGGATCCTCCAGGGGGAGGCAGAGCCCCAATTTCTTGGCTGATGTCGCAAGCTTGCACAGAATTATCCCCCCCCCCTCCAGGTCATAAAACACATCCCTCCAGAATCTCGTACTGGGGCGCCCTGTGCAGTCAGCCAGGTTTCTGCTTCTCAGAGCCAGCCCCGAGAAACTGGGGTTTCCTGCTCACTGGGGTTTCCAGGGCAGGGCAGTGGGGGCAGAGGGGAGCAGCGGCACCCCTGCCAGGACCCACCGAGGAAGCCAGGCGGCTCCCGGCTCCTTTCTCTGGGCTCACACCACCCTCCCCAGGGACTCCCTGAGGCCCCCTGTGCTGGGGGTGGGGGGTTGGACCTTGTGGGGGGCTCTGTCATCCAGGGTCCCTGGGAAAGAGCTGGACACCCACGAGCTGGGGCTCTCCTGTCAGGCACTCCTGGGCCTGCTTGGAAGGAAGGGCTTCCCTGTTCAACTCCGGCCCAGCGGACGGGGGCCTTGGGTCACGGGGGCCTGAGGATGGCCTGGAGGAGGGGACTCAGCCGCCACCGCCAGGCTCAGCCCCCCCCTGCCCGGGCTGCGTCTCTGTGATTCCGTCTCCTGGACACTTGCTGGGTACCAGCTCGGCAGCCTTGCCGCACAGAGCGGCCTCCACATGAATCATTCATGAGCCCATAATTAAGAGTTTCATGTGTCCGTGCCATGTGTACGGTCCGTGTGGGGCTGGGGCACAGCGCTGCTGTCGAGGGGCGCTGGGCCGGGGACCCGTGGGGTGTGCGGAGGCTGGGCCTGGCCCGCCGCTACGGACCCGTCCCCTGTGCCCACGCGGCACCAGGACCACAGGTGGCTGATGGCCTTCCCCCGTCCGCGTCACTGAGGCGTGCGGGGGAGTGGGTGCGGGCGGGAGGGCCCGAGGGCGTGATTCACCCAGGGAAGGTAGGGAGCCCGCGCCGTCTGCAGACGGGGCCCCGATGGAAAATGTAGGATTGCCTCGTTTGGGGGCGACGCGCTGCCAGGTCGGTTGGAACAGCCCATGCCCATCTTTCTTATTTTCATTTCCCTCTCCGCATCTCTGAGCCTTTCTTCTGCAGCGAGATAATGCAGCGCCAGCCAGAACCCTGTCTTGGCAAACGCAGCACAAAGGGATCCTCTGGGTGGCTCTGCAGGCGCTGGCCAGGAGCTGGGGTGCCGCTCCGAAGCGCCTCAAGGCTTCCCGGGGCCCCTCCAGCTCTCACTGACCCCCAGGCCCCCATCCCCCCCTCCCCCAGCCCTCAGTAACTCCGCCTCCTCCTGCGGGAAGCCCTCTCTGACCAGCCCTCCTGGTGGGAGCTCACGCAGGCCAGCCTAGGACCCAGCGGCGGTCTGGCAGGTTCCACCCGCCGTGTGCTCCCTATAGACAGTGCCCTGAAGACAGGGTCCCCCCTGCTTCCTCCATGTGGCTGACAGAACACAGGAGGGCACCCGGGGTCCAGCGCAGGGCATGCTCCCCGTTGAAAGCGACAGGCCCTTTCCAGCTTGGGGTACACGGCAGGGTGGGGAGCGGAGTGCGGGGAGAAAAGTGCCGAGGGTGAGAGAGTGCCAGCGAGCCTCCCCGGCAGGGTCCGCTCTGCACTGCTGCTCCTTGGCTCTGCCTCGCCCGCCTTGCCCTGTGCTGGCCCCGCATCACCGCCCCTCCCTCAGGGCGAGGTGCTCCTCAGGAGGGGGTGCAGTGCTCGGCACCCCCAGGTGGATGGAAAGCATGCAGGCAATTAGGATCCAGTATGTGTGCCAGTCTAGGCCCAGGACCTCATCTCACACCCCGTGGTCCAGGTCAGGGGCCAGGAGAGCTCCGGGATGGTCAGGGGCTGTGCCAGCCTCTCCCGGGCCCCTGCAGGATGGGCGACTTAAGGTGCAGTCTTGTTAGTTTCTTTGCCTAAAACACCAAGGCCCCAGTGAACTGAACAGTCTTTGTTGTCACGTTTCACCGCTGAAAAGGGCCCTTTTGTCCCACCTTGCCCAGCCCAGAGTGACCACCGACTTCCCGTGACACTCTCCCCGCTGCCCCTGCCCGCCATCACAGGCCCACCTGCCCACCAGGCCCCACTCGGCATGGCAGGGCCAGAGTGGAGACGGCCCAGCCCAGGCCCAGGCTGGAGCAGGCTCTCCTAGGCCTGT